AGATTTTCAAATATAGGACAAATTTTAGTACTTAAGCTAAACTTCTCCAAAACTGAATCAAACTTGCAACTAACTTGTTTGAATACTTTTACAAGACATATCCATTCAATCCACTTACTAAAAGTGATCTCATGAACTTATCCAATTCAAATCAATCTAAATTTGATTACTAATCAATTAATCCATTCAATCATCTCATAGCAAGCAACAAATGCATATATATCTAAGTCAATCAACTCATATGCATCCAAATAAATAAGATCAACTAGAAATATACCTTGGTTAGCTCATGATCATCCATAGCAAGCTTCAACTCAAATATTTGCAAGCCAACAAATATATCCAATAGATCACCCACAACATGAATTTTGCACTTGTATGTTGTAGCATATTTAGACTTCATTAATTCTTAGCTTGGCATTGGGATAGAATAGCACTAAGCTTCAATACTTGTTGATTCAACGTATGATGTACAATAATAATTCAATTGAATCAAGCCTCCAATGCCATGGTACCTACACACATTCATCCACTTTTTGATGGTACCCAAACAAGTTTGGGTCCTCTCAAGTTAGGTGCAACATACTTATGCATAGCCTTACTATGAATAGCGGGATGTTTTGTAATAGCAACCATAGAGGTACCATTACCATCCTTTCTAAGCACAATATTATCATCAATTAAAATGGGCTTAGAATTGTTACCTAGGAAACATGAATTAGCCATGTGTGCCCTTTTCCGGTATGAGTAGCACTTTCTCTTTAATTGAGCCTTCTCTTCATTGCTCATGCGGTGCTCCTCATTGCCTTGCTTCTTCTTGTTTGCTTGAGCCTTCTCTCAAGCTTGTTTGGACAACTCAAAGCTAGGTGTCCCAATATGTCACAACTATGGCACTTGATGTGAGCCACTTCCTTCACCTTCTCTTCTTTATTCTTGCTCACTTTCTTTGCATCTTGATTCATCCTTGGACGCATTGCTCTTTCTCTTGCTTTTCCACCCCTTCTTATTTTCTTCTTCTTCATCATCAAATCACCACCATCTTCATGGTTGATCTTGATTTGAACTTAGGGCTTCTCTTCTTGCTCAACTTGTTACTTTAGTTGAGGCTTCACTTGTTACTTCACCAATTCCTTGGTTGTGCACATAGAGGTGAGATGATCCCATGTGCGGCACTTGAAACACTTGACATGCTTTAGCCTCTCTTCTTCTTTCTTCAACTTGAGCTTTTGTTCGTTGGGGCAACCATTTGCAAGATGTCTCACTTCATGGTATTTGAAGCACATGAAATGAGATAGCTTCATTTGTTCTTACTTCTTCATCTCTCTTTCATATCTTCTCTTGCCCCATCTCTTGCCCTTGATCTTGCTCATGTTGAAGGCAATGCCACTCATGTCATTGAGGCTTTCTTGATGATTGACTTTGCTAGCCTTGAAGCCAACACCAATTTTGTCACCAAAGTTTCTTTGACTCTTCAGCATATGCTCAAAGGTGATTTGAGAGTTGTAGCACCTCTCTAACTTGTTGCTCAATTTCTTCACTTCACTTTTGAGCTCAATGTTCTCCTTCAAAATGTTAGTCTCACAAGACATAGAAGTATAACAAGCATTTATATGTAAAGAACATGGCATAGATAATAAATCATTATAAGAGGTGAATACATGCTTTTTGTCTACATCACAAGGGTTAGCAACAATATGTGATTGATCAATTGACCCATGTGATGAGCTCTCACTAGTTTTAGATTTTTTTCATTTGAAAGCTCTTTAGTGAGAAAAGCATAGTCGTATACCAAGTTATCATGAGCAACACTAAGTTCCTCATGAGCCAATTTTAGCTCCTCATGTGAATAAGTAGTAACATAAAGTAGATGCTTTTGTTGTTCACGTGTGTTCTTTAGAAAAGTGTTTTTATTTTTTAATTTCTTGGTTTTAGCCATCTCTTTTTCTAAAGCTTTGATCATGCAATCATATCTATCTAGAAGCTCCTCATATGAATCAAGATCAATCACATTTGCATTAGATACCTTGGTGTCACCTTGTGACATGTCGCAATGTGATGTAGTTGGAGAGCTTGAGAAAACATCACTCTCATAACCCGAGCATGATCCGTCATCATCACAATTAATCTTGTCAAGTGATCTTGTGGTAGAATCATCATCATCATCATCACTTGACCATAAGGTGGAGCAATCTTCCATAATTACCAAATCGTGGTCATGCTCAACATACTCATGCGCCTCCTTCTTGGGCGCATCCTCATCATCGGGGACCGTCCCATATTTCTCAATGAGATAACTCCAAATCTCATGGGAGGTCTTCATGTTAGTGATCTCTCCGAATATGCTATCATCCAAAGATCTATACATGATGTCAATAGCTTGGGTGTCGAGATCTAGGCATTTCTTTTGTGCTTGAGTTAGATTCTCTTCATCCAACACATGAGAAAAGCCTACATCTACCATCCACCATATTTGAGGGCAAATAAACTTAAAATTGCATATCATCTAATGTTTTTCACCGTGCAAAGTGTGTGCCATAAAAAATATATGAACAATCAACATCTAGCCCATAAGTCGTCATCCTCTCGGGTCGGTGAAGACCACAAATGAGATACCAAGCTTCGATACCACGTGTAGGGTCGAGATGGTGGACTAGAGGGGGATGAATAGTCATTTCTAAAATAAAACACGCCGGCTAACCAAAACAAATGCGGAATTAAAACTATCGGTCTAGTCAAGACTACACCCCTCTATCTATGTTCTCAAGCTAAATTAGCAACTAAGGTGCCGGGCTAGCTAGAGCTCACATAACCAAATCTAGGAGTAAGATCACACAAACTTATGCCACTAGTACTTTAAGCAACCGGAGGAGCTTCTACACAATCTAGTAAGCAAAAGCACAAAACTCCTAAGCTCACTAGCAATACTCAATTATAAGGCTACACAAGCCAAATTAGAGAGAGCAAATTACTTAGTTACGCAAACTAAGCAATGTGACTAACAAGATTACTCAAACCAAATTAGTCATGCAAGGGAGCTACTTTTATGCTACACAAGCAAGAAGGTAACTAGCAAGCTACACAATTCACCCCAGGGCAGCACCCCGAGCCAAGTTTCGCCTCCTTTTCTTTGATTTTTTCACCACCTTTGTAAATATGCTAACAGTCCAAGTGTTTCACCATATTATACATGTGTGTTAGCTTTTCACAAACATTTTCCAAAGGATTAGTCACTCAATTCACCACGTCACTTGATCCTAACAACGATGCAAAGTTAGATCACTCGAATGGTACTGGATGACCAATATGCAAACAAGTTTGCCCCTCTTGATAGTGCGGCCATCTATGATAAACCCGGTCATGCACTTCTCTACACAACCTTTGACCAGTGAAATGAAATGCCCTACAAATATATCTTTGTCTTACGCATTCCATTCTATCTCCTCCGGTGTTGATGCAGCACATGCACCAACCATATCAGAAATGATATGATCCACTTCATATCATCATGTAACCTTGTTGGTTCATCGATCTTGACCTCACTTGCTTTTCACCGTTGCCTTCGTCCATCGGCGTCAAGTCTTGGTCAAGCTTCACCGCCACGTGATCCATCGCTCCAAGGCCTCTAACTTGCCCTTCACGCTTGCAACCGGTCCATCAAGCCAAGTCTTGTCTTGATCTTCTCCAACTTAGTCACATGACTCAATGTCATGTCTCATATGCAATGAGCTCCTTCATCATATGTGTGAACCTTGCAACAAATCCAAGCCATCTTCACCGTCATGGCATGAGTTGCTCACACACATGTATCTGTGGACTAATTCACCTCTGTATTACACTTAAACACATATTACTCGACCTAGGTTGTCACTCAATTATCAAAACTAAACAAGGACCTTTCACTTTCAACACTCGAACGCTTCCATTCCACAGAACTGTGGCCGCACTCTACCGCACCGCCTCAGCATTCTCCTTGACATCCGAGTGTCCGTCGGCCAGCATCTCCACCGCGCTCGAGTGCGATCCCCCATCTTCCTCCATCTCCATCGCACGTCCAACCCACCATGGTCCCCTACCTTCCTTCATCTCCATCGCGGCCTTCTCCAGCGCACGGACGGCCTTATCCACCGGAGCGATGACAACTCACGCCAGATTCGTTGCAACCTTCTCCACACCTGCAAGCTCTACCCCAGTGAACTTTACACGCCGACAAGCCTCAATTCCCAATCAGCAAGGATATGTTGCACTGAAAGCGCATGTTGCAAATCTATGTTTTAGGTGTTTTAGATGTTTTAGAGTATGTTATAAGTATTTCATATTGGTGTTGCAAAAGTAGATGGGGATGTTTCATATGTTGCAATGGCTATGTACGTATATTTCAAGTGTATGTTCCAAATATTTCATCTATATCAGATATATGTTGCAAGTGTTTTCATCTGGATGTTGAAAATGTAGATCCGGATGTTACATATACATGCATGTTGCAAGCATATGTTTAAAGTGTTTCACGTGTTTCATATGTCTGTTGCAAGTGTTTCATATGAATGGTGCATATGTTTAAAGTGGTTTTAAGTGTTTTTAGGTATTTTGCAAGTGTTTCATCTATCTTCTTATGTATGTTACAATTGTTGCATCTGAATGTTTTAAAAGTAGATCGTGTGTTGCATATGAGATGTGCGTAGGAAGCGGCTACGGCGCGGGCGACGTCTGGGGCGGCACAAGTCCACTGCTAGGGCGCTCGCTCGTAAGCCCCACGCTGAGATGCTCACTCGTTCGCTGAGTGAGTACAGTTTGACGCTAGCGTCCCGGATCGGACGTTAGACAGCCGATTAGTCTGAGTGTTACCTTTTGATACACGAGATTTATTTCCTGAGACATCTGCTGGTGTGCAGCGGACGCGCGCTCGGGCCTCCGCCCTGCCTCGAGATAATCACTTGCACGAACTCACACAACGGTCACGAGCTCACGAACAAGAAGCACGCACACGAGTGACACGACGCGCATCACTGGACCTTGACCTCGGTGACGTTCCGCTTGCGCTCCCCGGTGCGCGGCACGGTGACGTACAGCACGCCGTCCTTCACCTCGGTGGTGATCCCGTCGGCGCGCGCGTCGTTCGGGAGCAGCAGGCTGGCGTGGTACCCGCTGGCCGACCACCACTCGCCGCCCTCCTCCCCGTGCTCCCGCTTCTCGCCCTCGATGACCAGCACCCCGTCCTCCACGGCCACGCGCACGTCGTCCTTGCCGAGCCCCGGCACCTCGAACCGCAGCCGGTACCGCGACTCGTCCTCGCGCACCTTCCCCGACATCAGCCGCGCGACGGCGCCAGGCGCTCCAGCGGCCGGCTCAGGGTCTCCGCCACCTGCGGCAGCGCGCTCCCGAGACCTGCGTGCCGTGCGTCAATGCATGCATGCATACGCGTTAGTCAGTCAGTGTCCATGGCCGGCCGGCCGGCGTGCATGAGGGTTGCTCAAGACGGCAGGTGCTAAAGGCCATACCGTCCACGAGGCGGAACGGGGTGAAGTCGCGGAGGTCTCGCCATGCCCAGCGGCCGCTGCGGCGTGCGGGGGCGGAGCGCTCCGACACGGCGACCTCCCGGCGGTTCGCCTCGCCTGAGGCGGCAGAGTCGGCTGCCGACGTTGAGAAAAGGGAGTGAAGCTTCAAATCTGTCGCTGGGGCTGCGGCGTACGCCGGCCCCGCCAGCGCCTGCGCGCGGCCGGCGGCGAGGGCCCTGTTGAGGCACAGGCGAGCTAAAGCCATGTCAAAGCCTTCGCCGAGCTTCTTGATTCTCTTCGTCACTCTGCTGGGTCACCATCCTTCAGTTCTCGCTCTGTTTACAGATGCAGATGGCGATTGTGTGCATATAAAGCGGCAGAGGAGGCTACACGCGCAAGCTGAGAAGGCCGGAGGCATCTGGAAAGGAGACGAGACGGCCACTTCCATCACCTTCTGCCCGCGCCGAGGATCCATGGAAAGCAGATTTGACACTAAGAGGATACATAATTGACGCCTGCTTGCTTTGCTACCAGAATTTGACATGCCAAATCTTTATATTTAGCAAGCAAAAGTCAGATAAAATGCTTGCGAAAGATTCTTCAATTAAGTTTTTCTAACAGTCAAATGGCAGCTAAATTTTTGTCCACCAACCTATCAGGCTCAGGGCTGCTACCACTATCTGTGTTTCTTCTTGTTCCCTGCAGACGTTCTGATTTCTTTACGAAAGCTACGGCGATACATAGTGCTGTACTCAGTAAGTCAGTATAAAACAATGAAGTCCTAAACTGAACGCTGTGAACACAATTACTAGTAATAAAAAACAAAGAATGTTTTACATTTACTTAAGAGGGATGCCATTCTGTCTCCGAGACAATCCACATTCATCACGACAGAGGTTTTCGCAGCCTACTAAAGTTGCGTACATTTCAGCGATTCATAACGTGACTTCAAACAACACACTTCCAATAACCAACTCTAATCGTATAGGCCTTCCTGCTCCCAGCTGACCACGAGGAAATCCACCATTTCCTGACAGGAGACAACCCAGGGAAGTCAATGCATTGTCTAAACAGGACGCATATGTCAAAAAATGGAAGATGGAATGTAGATTTTCAAGGTATCTTACACCAAGAGGGATCGGTTGTGGAAATGGTTTCGAGCTTCCGAGCAGGCTCTCATATGTAGCATTACAACTGCAGTCACCAGGCAGATATTAGTGCAAAAGGCAGTCCGAAACTATCCTAATTTCAAAGTATTAAACAAGATTTCACACTGCTGGTGCGCCACTATCAAACTATCCACAGGGTAGCAAGGAGATTACTATACATAAATAGCATATCATCGATAACCACAATATATCAAAACCCTGAGGCATTTCAAATGACAATTCAAAGAGTGGCAGAAACCACAACTGGTTCATTTCCAAGCATGAAGCGAAAAAGGTATTTCACAAAACTAACACTACAACATCGAGGAAATATTTTGGCCACTGCAAAGACGTAGAAAATTTAAGACATAGAAGTATCCTAAAAAAAAGGAAACTTGGAGAACTAACCTTATGTTTGGTTCTTGACTTTGTTGACCCTGAGAATTACGCCTTCGCTTCCCAATCCATTGTTGTCTAGTCTGGTGCCATAGTAGAAGACCTATGTTTGTACAAGTATGGGGACAGAATATCAGTTAATGAACCATCAGTGGTTTTATTGCTTTATAATATATAAAACCACGAGTGGTTCTCCCTCAGCGCTTACCCTTTACGGTTGGGATTCGGGAGTCATAAGAGCAAACAATTGACATTTGGCCATGTGGCCACTGTCAGGGTTCAGTTGGCTTATTGCCAAATAAAAACTTACTTGAGAGACTGTTTGTCACAATATATTATTTCCTGCTATGGAGACCAAAAAGGGTTTAGATGGCTTATTGCTAGATTATAGGCTGCATATCCAACATGTAACACTAATTAGTTACCAATTATAGGAGCATAGCTGAGTTCTAAAAACTGCTACCGCATACAGTCATACTAGGTAATAATTTGCATAGGACATCCATCACATGGCATCTTGTAAAATTGCCATTTTGCTGGATTTTCTGGAGCACAAACACACCATACTGAAATGCAGTTTAAATAAGCATGAACGGAACTCCAACAAGCAAATATTGGTCTCAAACTCATGGGAGTATGGAACAAACAATCAAACATTGTAAATTAGTGCACCATAAATTGACATGAGCACCATCTGTTCTGGAGATGTAGATATGTTAACTAGTTTACCTTGATTTACAAATTCATTTGGGGAGCTGCTACTTCCAGAAGCATGCTGATCATTAGGTTGTGCTGCTGTGCTGATTGAAGACATACTATGTCGGGATTGCAAAGCACTGTTCTCCATTTCGTGCGGGCTTGAACTCCAAAAGTCGTTAGATAAATTGCGCCTTTTTACTGAGCGCCCTTGAATTCTTAAACCTTTTGTAGGCTCATCAACAGCTATTATCGGAGTAGGTTGGGCACAACCAAAACAACCTCTGCTCTGTTGCAAGCCAGGATTGACCAAGACATGATTAGTACTACAAGGTACTTGACGAGTAACAGCACAAATAAAAAAAAGGTTACATTGGAAACAAACGGCCACATAATTCCAAATGTGGAATAGTACAAGTTCAGAACCAACTCCTAGGCCCAGCTTGAACTCATCAGTCTGAAATTATAGGACATTCAATAAGTAAATAGTACAAACATGCACCCTGTCGAGGTCACACTGCAAAGCTCAACAGCCCGGTGCTGGACCTCCTCGACACACAAGTGATCCACCAGGCGGTTCCACATGGCTGACACCCAAGAAACTTACAATCACTGGGAGTTTGGACAATAGAAGGGAAAGGGCCTTTTCATCCTGCCATGCCCTGACCTCACTAACTGCTTCACGATTAACATGTGGGACATGCCCTTGGAAGTTGGCATCATCACCCGGCCAGCAAGATCGCCAGGCTCATGAATCTCTCCCTTTCCTGGTGCTATGATGATCTTGATGCCCTGCTCCCACTTTGGCCAAGATTGCGTGTTCTAGTCTTGAAATGGTAAGTTGCTAGGCATGACCAGACTATTCATTTTCTGTTGCTTAATGGGCTTGTTGTCAAAGAACCTTCTGGAGGATATTGTTACTGTGGTGCTGGTGGTTAAAATTTGAAGTTGATACTTAGATTGGATGTCAAGCTCAGAGCAATACCAGTGATTTTTAATATACGAGGACATCCATGCTACTTTAGTCAGCTATGGCACCATTTCTAGGTTATAAGGGGGAGCAGGGGATCTAGATCAGAGTGGCACCAGTAAAGTGAGAGCTTCATGAGCGTGGAAACTACCCGGACTAATTCAGTGCCAAGGGCATGTCCTACGTGTAAACTGTGAGGGAGGCAATGCAGTTCAGGCATGGATGGTTGATAGAGCCATTTCACTTCCCTAGTTCTCCAATCTGGACCCTGAGTGATGATGAGTTTCTTGGGCATAAGCCATGTGGCTGCACAAAGAAGCAAGGGGCTGCCTTTACCAATCACTTGTGTTTCATTTGTGTGGAGGAGGTTCAGCTTGGCAACGGCGGAGCTTAGTGATAGTGAGGGCCATAGTGGGCCATGCCCCCCCCCCCCCCCCCCTCCAAAAAAAAAGATAGAAAAAATATTAAAGAATGTCTTAGTTTCACCACTTTAATTAGTGCTAATGAAATACTAATCTACCCCCTCCCCTCTCATATTTCATATTATATTGGCCCTCCTCTTTTATTGGCCAAGCTCCGCCACTGCAGCTTGGGGCTGGTGTGCTGTGCGGAAGCAGCCTCGACCGAGCATGTGTCGACAAATATTACCCTGGTAACAAATAAATGATACACTAGAATATTAATAGAAGGGAGCAAACATCAATACGTATGTTTTTCTTTTCTATCGCTCCGGTTACTTGTGGAGGACATTGATTGCAAGCCTAAGAGCAATCACGAAGTGTAGGGCGATAACCAGCATTGCTGGAAGACCACCAAATATGATGATCAGAGATAATGGGCAGTGTAGAAGAAACCAGAATAACATAGCAAATTTTCGTTCAAAAAAATAATAACATAGCAAATCAATCACCCATTTCATACAGCTAACTGTAATAAGGCCATTCTATTGTTCCTTTAATGAGTTGGGTTGAGTTAACTGGGTTCTAAGATTAACAACCATTTTGGAGCCTGCTAAGTGCTAACTATCCATTTTAAACAGATATTGAGATTACTCACGGTAACAGATTTCATCAAGGGATACAGCGCAGAGCGAATCGCGTCGATACAGGTAAACCCAATCCACGGCCAATCACATCGGAGCAGCAGGAAGCAGACAAGCCCAGCAATCAACTGACCGCGCGTAGTAGAGGGAGGGCGGGAAAGAGGGTGGCTTACGCAACGCAGGCGACGAAGCGGCGCACCCAGGAGGACAGCGACCCGCAGCTCAGCAGCATAGCATCCGGTTTCCCGCGCGCCGGCGCCGGCGGCTAGGCTACGAAAGTCGAGCCCGCGATCCCCGGAACCCTAGCCTTGGCCGGCACCGGCCGGCTGGCGATTCACCTGGCGTCGCCGGACAGGAGAGAGGAAAAAAGAAATCCCTCGCTCTCGCTTCCTGTTGCTTGATGAAGATTTATTCCGTTTTGCTCCTCCTCCTCTCTCTCGCCTCGATTAGATGACGCGGCGTGCTGCGATAATGGCGGCCTCCCTCCTTTTATCTGCAGCAGCAGCTCACTTCGCTTTCGGGAGGGCGACGGGGAGGAATCATTGCGGCCGCCCGGCTGGATGGGCCCCGCTGGCGCCGTACGTGGAGCGATCAGAGGCGTCCGAGGAAAGATCAACGGCTGGAAGGGTGCTGCAAAAGGACGTGCGGGTCCAAGGGAGTCGTTTCAGTTCAGCCTGGCCGAGGTTAACGGATCGGGATTACGTGTGGCGTTAATCGCGACGGGGAATCTTTAGAGTTCTACGCCGAAATCCTGGCGTGCAAGTCGCGTCAGGCAGCCGTGGTTTGGGGCTAGGAATTCCGTTACGTGCTCGCAATGGCAAGGCTGCAGAGGCCTAATCTAGGGCGTCCATGCCCAAGCCTCGAACCTTACGTACGATTATTATGATCGGCTTGAACTGCTTTACGCTACTTTTCAGCGAACGAATAGTGTTTTTCTTTCGCAATAAATAAATCAGCATAAACATTAGCATAAGCCAAATTTCAACGAAGCGAACAGGGCATCTCCGCCCCGTCCGCTCAGATTCGTGTCGTCCGCCTGGACGTCGCGTCCGGACGCGGCTCCCTACTGCCCCGTCCGCTCAGATTCGTGCGCTGCCCACGCCAGCCCCGGACGTCGCCTGGATGGCTGGATGACTCAGCCCTCACCCTCGGCTCAATCCCCACACGGATGCATCGGGCGTCGATCCACCTCCACCGCGTTCAGACTCCTCTGCTGAGAAATCGCGCGGGCCTCTTTGACACCGGCGCCGCACGGCCTACGCGTCCTCCCCACACCGTCGGTGGCGCCCTACGCCTTCTCCCTGTGTTGTTGGCCTCGGCGTTGCCCTACCGCCCTCGTCGACACCAATGCCAACGGTCTACACTTGCAACATAAAATATTCGCTGCAATGTACGACTGAAACAGATGAAACATTTAGAATATACGCTTTGCAACATAAGTGTATAGTCACTACAACATATGCAACATCCATATAAAACACTTGCAACATACGTCTGAAACAGATGAAATATATTTTGAATAGTCGCTTGCAACATACCTATGAAACAATTACAATATATGCAACATCCTGACCTATTTTTGCAACACCCATATAAAACACTTGCAACATACCTCTGAAACAACTGAAACACTTGAACATACATTTGCAACATACGCTTCTTCCTATCGTGGTGTCTTTGGCCGACCGTGAGAGATGATGTCCCGGCCGGCGACGACCTTCTACTGGTGGCGTGGTGCACGTCGTGGTCGCGACTGGCGAGCGCGGATTGGGGTGCGACGGTGGATGGTCGTGGCAGCGAGGCGGAGTGGGGTGGTCAGGCATAGGATGGGTGCGCGTCAGGGGATGGCTGCGGCGGCGAGGCAGAGTGAGACGAGCGAACGGCCGCATGTCTTTTTGAGAGAGCGCATCCAAGCGGATGGATGTCCTCGGTACATCATTATCATTTCGTATCACTTTCTTTATCGCACGGAAACATGTGTTAAATAAACACGCCGGTGTATTAGAGTTGGGAGGAGGAGAAATCACTTCTTTTATAAGGATTTTCATTAGATTAGAAACATCTTGCATGAATAAAGTTTAGGGCTGGTTCATTGGGTATTCTAGGTCGGTACAAAGAGGAGAGAGAGAAAATAAACGAGGTGCAATATATTGGAGAGAAGACGCTGGTTTAGCACCATTTTACATCGGTTGTTTTCTTTCTTTATCATCCCACCTTTCTCATTCTCTCACCACTCACACATTGATTGCTCACCTAACTACCTAGTGGTTTGTTTGTTGCGAGTCCCACTCTAAAGCAACTCTGAGAGACACTTTATATTTTCCTAATTTATAAGAATAGAGATTTTGGTAAAAATAACATTCCAACATTCTCTTTATTTGATCTCTAAACATAGACATCCCCTATTCTGGTTTTCTCGCTAGCCGAAGATGACGAACAAGGATGGCTCTCTAGTACATACAAGATATAGAAAAGTTGTTGAAAATACAAATATATAAAAAGTAACTTTTACTTAAATACCCCTAAATAATAATTTAGAGCGTAAATTTAAAAAATCTCTCGAAAATGCTCTTAGTATATGCTGGGAATTTACATATTGGAGACTTTTTTGCTAACAAAACTCCTATTGACATGTCAACTTCTGTAAGTCCCATTCTAACCTGAATATTTTACGAGCCAAGGCCCTTAAGAGCATCTCCAAGACTCTTTTTAAGGCTCATCCTCTAAACATCATTTAGAAAGTTATTTGTATAAAAGTTGCTTTCTATATCTTTCCACTCTCCAATAGTTTTTTATATCTTATGTGCACCATATAGAACCATTCTCGATCTCTAACTTTGGCTAGCGAGAAATCCAGAATAAAAGATGACTATATATGATAACCAATTAAAGAAGTCGTTGGATGGGTATTTTTTTCATTAAAGATTTTCATTAGTAGCAATTAGGGAGGATATAGAGTCTTTTGGAGGTGCTCCTACCCTTAGGGTTGCGCTGTAGTAAAGTTGGACTTGTTGTTCGGGCTCGCCTACTATTTATCCTTCCTACCAACTTCTTTTTAATAATTATTTAAAAAATCTTTGATTTGTTTATGCAAAAGGAAATTATTGATATATTTACCCTTTCTATCAACCCTTTTTTT